TTTGTGAACAGAGTATAATAAACATTTATTTACCTCTCTCTCCTGCTCTCCCTCTCTCTCTCTCTCTCTCTCTCTCTCTCTCTCTCTCTTTCTCGCGCTCTGCTCTAATTCCGTTTATGGGCTGTAGTTGCCTTGAGCCTTGCATTAGCCCGTCAGTCTGCATTAGGCTCGCTGTGCTCTTGTCTCTTCCTTTTGCTCGCATTAATTAAAAACAAAAAAAAACCTCGATAAGCTTCTGTGTTCAGTTTTGCTTTCGCTTCTCGCTTCTCGCTTAAGTTGTTTTCTTGCACTTCTGCTTAAAGTTTTTTTTAGCTTTTTTTATAATTCTAAGTTGCTTAGCTTTTTGCTTTGGGCCTTGGTTCGTCTTTGGCTCTCTGTCCAGCTAAGCTGCTCACTTCGTTTTTATTTGTCTTCTTCGTATATGCTTCGGCTTAAGTTCTTAGTTAGCATCATTTATAGCCGCTTTTTTTTCTAACTAGATCTTGGCTTAGAGTCTTTGTTTTTATGCCCTGAAAACATTGGAAATGGGAGCTCAATGAATTAAGTCTTTTTGCTGATGTCTTTAATATGCTGTAGAAGGCGGGGAAGACAGCATAAAGTTTATTTGTAAACTTGATCTTGCGGAGCCAAGTCGCTGTAGAGACTTGATATAATAGAAAGTTGGAAATATCTATACTTTTGTTTTATTTATTTATATGGTTATTTCATATTTTAAGCAGCTTTTCCTTGTTATCGAACGAAATCTATATTCTCTAAATTTACTATGACTGTTGCTGCAATGAACAAGGAGTTAAAACTACAAATCTGCATTTCTTTTAATACATTAAACATTAAATATAGAGTTAACACAACAGCTAGTTAATTTTAATATAATTGTTTTAAAAATAAAAGTAAATCAGTTGCATTGTTAGCAACTAGTCGTAACTTTGTCTGAGCAGCAGGTCGAGCAGACACAACTCCTTTGCAACCATACGCAGCTGCATATTTTCTGGGCCTATTCAACTATTCTTTTAGCTTAAAGCTTTCACTTTTCAATAAGAAAAGTCTACAATTGTCAAATATTGAATTTATGCTTTTCAGTTTTTCTTTGAGCAAGTCGCACAAAGTTGCCTTTGGTTAAGCAGAACAGACGTTGCCTGAGCTAAATAAACTCTTCAATATTTTTGTAAATTTAATATATTTAAATATATTAATTTGTGTATAAAAATAACATCTCTAGAACCCAAGCTTTTCCATAATTAATTGCCGGAAGTGTAGCTCAAACGCAGCAGCGGCTATTTGTAGCCAGGTTTCTTGCCTCTTTTGCCTCTCTGATTCTTGTCAACTCTCATCAAAGTCGACACACAAAGTTATATAAAAAAATTTAGGGGAAAAATGAATGTTAAACGCATACATACAAAAGCTAACAAGCCAAAAATGTGTCGCAAACGACTTTTTCTTCTTCTTCCGCCACTGCTTTCAACTGCTGCATGTTGAACAAATTTAGGCTAATGCCAATTATATTAAGAATTTTAGACGTCGCCTTTGGCGCACCACAGCCTCAAGACCAACAAGAAGAAGCAGAAGAATTTAAGTGAAACCTCAAAGTGAGCTTTGAGAATGGTTTGATTTTCTTATATCTAGCTACAAATTTATTTTATACATTTGAAACTTTTTTGCTGGCCAGACTTGTCTGCACGGCGCACAGTGCATACATAATGTATGTGTATACACGATTATATATACTGATTTGCTATGGCTGACTAACTGCCTGACAGAGCCTGGCGGCTGTCGGTGAACAACGGCAGCAGCAGCAACAGCAACAGCAACAGCAACAGCAACAGGATGCCAACAACAATCAAAAAAGAAAATCACTTGACTTTTCCTAGTTGTCCTTGTCGCTTGCAGAACAACAGAGCAAGAGGAAGAGAGAGCGAGTGAGCAGAGGGGGCTAGTGGTGGGGGAGGGGTGCGTGCTTAGAGCAGGGGAGCAGCGCTGTTATTGAGGCTGGGGTCGGCTTGGGGGGCTGGTGTCAAAAACTTGAGCGCCTGTTGACACACACGCGAAACACTCGAGCTCTTTGCCGGGCGGAATGGCAGCGGCAGACTTTGCGGTCTCTGCGGGGAGTGGTAAAGTGAGGGGGGGGGGTGGGGGTTGGTGGTGGTGCGCTGCTTGTAACCGCCAAAAACATTTTGCTAACGATTTATGTCCGTTGCATGTTCTTCGACCGAGAAACTGTAAGATAAATTTTAGCTACTTTTTCAGCTGCAGCACATCCTTGGCTCCACGTCCTGCAGCCTGCCGCCTGCTGTGTGCATCTCTGTACTTAATGGCGCATCCTATTCCTCGGGTCACATGTCAGCCAGACGCCTGCAATTGCTGCAAGCAATTAGTTTAGAATTCTTCAGCATTCAGCTAGGTTAACGAGGGCTAGACCAGGCTATCGAAGCGTCCTCAAGCAATTTATGGTTTCTTCTTTTTCTTCTACTTACACTGCATTAGTCTGCAGCTATCTACTGCACAACTCCAAACTAGTCTCTGACAATCTGCAAGAATCTGCTCTGCTCTTTAGGCTTTCGTGCATCAAAGAGATTTTGCTGAATTTGCTCAGCTAACTGGCCAAGGGGACAGCTGTTGGCCGTGTGGTAACAGGCGAGCTGTAGTAAAACTTTTAATTAAACCAACTTTAAGCTTTTAGTGCTGCTGGTCAGGGCTGTCAACAGACACACACACACACACACAGCAGGCGGCACCCATGTTTTACACCGAAATGAAGCTGGCAAGCGGCTGTGCAGGAGTCGTGGAGTCGGAGCAGGCCAACATTAAATCTGGGCTTTTACAATAAAATTTTGCCATTAACACTTTGGCCAGTGCTTAAAGCAGACGTGATGTAAAAAGCAAAAAAGCAAAAAAAAATGCGCTCAAGCTGCTTGGCTTAAAGCCTAAAATCCTGTGGCAGAGCCAAGCCAGCAGGAGGCGAGCAGCAGAGCAGCGGAGCTAGAGCAGCTACAACGGCTGTCAGTTGTCTAGCCAAGCGACAAAAAATGATGTGCATATACATGTCCAAAGAGCTGACCAGTTGGCCAATACACGGAAAAGCTGGCCAGCTAACTGGTTCGTCCCTTTTGTATTCCGAGTTACACCTACCAAAGCGACAGCTGTGCATCGGTGTCCACGGCTGCCTGCGCTGCTTCTGTTTGGTGTCAGGTTTTGGGTCTCTGTGCGGGCTGAAGGGGGGGTAGACCCTGATCGGCTCACTGGACAGAGGAAGTCAACTGACTCCACCTTTAGGCCACTTCACATCTCGAATAGCAACTGCTAGCTGCTTGCGGCTCACAGCTGTCTGTCCGCTGTCAGACCCGCACAAGCACAGGCCCTAGACCCTCAATATTGTTTACTTGCCTACGTTGCGGCTTTTTATTTGAGTTCGGTATTAGTTCTTGATGATGTGACAGTCCTTAGCTCTTTATGAGCTCCATTGTTAACATTTTGTTGCATGCGATAATGTCGGAGCTTAACAGCGCATACTAACAGCACTTATTAACAGTTCTGCTAAGGCAGGTTTGTGTACGCGCTAAAGAAAACAGCGTCTGTTAGTGCTAACAGAGCGCTGTTGTGGTGTCTAACAGAGCTCTGCTAAGTGCATTGCTTGGTAATGTTAAGCTCAAAAGTAAATAAATTAAAATTGTTATTTAATTTATGTCTTTTTATGAATATTTTTATAAATAAAAAATTAAATTTTATAATTTATGTATTTCTTATATTTATATATATTTAATTATTTAAATATTTATCGCAAAATGATATTAAAAAAAGGAATACTATTTTAAATTCTATATATTTGATATATATTTATATATCTTATATATTTATATATTTGTTAGATAATTAAATTATATTAACAAACAATTTTATGAATTTACATTATTATATATCCTATTTTTTCTATTTATTATTATATAAAAATATAATGATAATAATAAAAGATTATAATTATAAATATTTTGATAATATTCTTATTATCAAAAATGTTATTTTCTTTCTTATTTCCACCCGACATTTTTTGGTCTAATTTCATTTTTTACTTAATTTATTTGCAAAAGCGAGCAATAAATACGCTTAGTTAAACAATTCGCCGCTTATCAAAATTAATTGTGGCGCAACACGCATCATTTTCTCACTGTTCCCATTCACTTTTAACACCCAACCCCCATTTGGCGAAAGGAAAAAAGTTGAGCGAAGAAGAAAAATATTTGACACGCTGCTTTTATTTATGACGAAGCGAGCGAACGAAAACAAAACCCCAAAAAAAAAACCAAATAGAAAAACAAAATCCGTCTTTACTAAATAAACAAAGCTAAAGATTCATAAATTACAGCGCGAAAGCCGGTCAAGCAGGCGAGTGTGAGACAGAGGAGAGAAAGAGAGAGAGAGAGAGAGAGGGGAGGCAGGAGGTAGGCAGAGTGTTGGCAGCGCGTGTGGCAGCTGCGTGCTCGGCTCAGCTGTTTTGTGTGCATTTCGCGTTTGCTTTTGGCCAAGCATTTTTTAAGTTTTTCGGGCGCGCCCTTTTATTTTTGGCTGCAAAACAAAAAACTCAACGCCCGCATGCGGAGGTAAACAAATGTGTTTTGGGCCCGCTTAACAGCGACGGCAAAAGCGTTTTTATAGCAGCCTTTCAGGCGGCGCTGTTAACGCTGTCCCTCATTCTATTCTCTCTCTCGCTCTCTCTCTCTCTCTATTGATTTGTTGTGCATAACTGGCGCATGCGTCAGCTCAGCTCAGCTCAGCCAGACACCGGCCATACGCATACAGGGTGCTTGGCAAAACAAAACAAACCTGAGCGCAACCCCTAAAGCAACTCCCCCATAAACAAACCCCGGCCTGCTTGGGGTGCGACAAGCAGAGTAAAGGGATGTTAGAGTGAGAGAGAGGGCGAGAGAGAGAGAGAGTGACTGCAGCTTTGCAGCTTTTATAGCATCTGCTAACATTGCGCTCACTGTTGTTCTCTGTTGGCTTTGCAGGGGTGGTATGTGGATAAATTTTAGCCGCCATGGATCCCAGTGCTCTACAAAACATGGATCGGGACGCATTAAAGAAGCAAATCGAGAATATGAAATATCAGGCCTCCATGGAGCGCTGGCCGCTATCTAAAAGCATTGCTGAGTGAGTAGTCCACTAATATTTAATACCAACTAATTAGCTGCTAATACAAGTGCCTAGACTAAACCGAAAAGTGTTAAATTTAACTGTTAAAATACAGCAAAAAAAAACTCATTTATTGCTCGCTGTCTGAACGAAACTTTACGCGTGTGCTAAATATGAATGTGTGCGTGTGTGTGTGTCTGTGTATACCTGTGTGTGTGTGTGACTGTGACTGTGTCTGTGTCTCTTGCGAGTTAACCAAAAATTGAGCTCAAGTTTGTCTAGACGCGCGTTCCAGGCAGCAGTTAGAGGTTGCTGCTGCCTCTGCTGCTTCCTCCCAGTTGACACAGTGCTTGTCTTAAATATTCATACACGTGCCTTGCCCGCAGACTCGAGACGGTGGGGCAACACCTGAGCTGAGTGCTCGTCCGGCAGCTGTGTTGTTTGTTGCTGCTAAATATTTACATAAATATAAAGTTGTTGCCGTTGCTGTTGCAGTTGTTGTTGTGGCTGTTGTTTTGCTCTAAACACAGCAAGCGACAGTTGCCTCTTCACCTGACAAAGCATGCGAATATATAAACGTATATATAGACACATACATGTATGTATATATTTCGGCGTGTGTGTGTAGACTGCGACTAGACAAAATTCCAAAAATATGCACAATTTTGCTGTGCGCATATTTTCGTAACTCACTGTCAACACGAATTGAACTGTTTGAGCCGTCGGTTAAATCACTTTTAAGCATTTACGCAATCAGTTCGAACAGAACGGGAAATCGTTGTTGATGCAGATAACTGCTGAATATATATATAGAGTCTATAAATGTTTAAGTGTCTAGAACATGCTTCACATATCTCTGAAAAAAAATACATGAAAAGAAGCAGAAGCAAGTCACACGTAGGTCTCTATTATCTCTATTGATAAGTTAAAAGAAAGGCCAGATAGACCAATTTCTGTTTAGTTATGTCTACAATTTGAGCTGTATTCACACAGCATTCTCAGCAGCTAAGCATAGAGACTTTGCATAAAGGTATTAAATTCTTTGCAGCTCAGATTAATCAACGCCTTGAAGAAATTGTAAGTCTAAAGATTTTTATTTGGTAAACTTAATATAGAAGAAATTCTTGTTACCAAAATTTTGCTTTAGCTTCATAGATCTAAGGTCTGTATGCAAAGATCTAAAGTGAATATCCAACTTATTTATGGCTTTGAGATGCCTCAACTCTTGCTCAGGCAGGCAGATGATAGATAGATAGATAGGAGAGATAGCAGAGATATCATCGATAGATAAATATATATCATAGATATATAGAAGAGATGCTTTTGACTACTTAGAGTTTGCCTCTGAGTCTTCTGAGTTTTCTTAGTTCTCTAAGCTCCCTTAGCTTCCTCAGTTCTCTTCTTAACCTCAGTTCCCTAAGAGTTTGTCCCCGAGTTTCCTGAGTTTCCTTAGTTCTCTCAGTTTCTTAGCTCCCTCAGCTCAATTAGTTTTCTCAGTTCTTAGTTTCCTCAGTTTACTTAGTTCTCTCAGTTCTCTTGGCAGCTTCCGTTCCCTTAGTTCTCTGAGTTCCCTCAGTTCATTTGGCTTGCTCAGATCTCTTGGTACCCTCAATTGCCTTAGTTCTCTTAGTTCATTTCCCCCTCAGTTCCCTTAGTCCTCTTCGCTCTACTCTATTCTACTCTATTCTACTCTATATATCCCAATACAACCTCAAAAGTCTTTTTCCCCTTTTTTTGGCTAATTTGAAAAAATTTGTTAAATGGCAGTTTCATGGCTCGCAACAGCAAATGCCGCACATAAATCACAATAAATGCGACAGCCTCTCTAAAGGGCAGCTTCTGCGTATGGCTGAACCGCAAATAAACAGCTTTCCCATTGTTGGCCAACTGTGACGGCGCTGTCAGGGCCCTATTTCAAATAAAATGCGCGCTGTCGAGAAATTTGGTTAAACATTTAGTCAGCGGCTAATTATGAATAATTAATTGCACGCATTCGGGCAATCCAATGCTGTAAGCCCACCTGAACTGCGCTGCTAAGCGTCGCTTTGCCTTAATTATTTAAAACATTTCATATAACACCTGCCTTGGGCTGCCTCTCTTCCGCTCTGCTCCTCTCCCATTGGCCTAGTTTGGCAATTAGCGAGAATCTGAGCTGATTTTCTCTCTCTGCTCTTTGTCTCACTTAGAGTCTCAGTCTTAGTTCCAGCTGCTGCTGCTGCTGCTGCAGGTGTTAATTGCTAAAAGCAAATCTATTTATCATAATTAAGTTGATAAACACGAGCTTCACCTTATGTGCTCACCTTTTTGTCTCTGTCATGAACTTGAAATCCATTTTAAATCCCATTTCAGTTACAGATTTTGTTCAGTTCTCCAACTCATTTTAATTTTTAATGCTTATAGAAACATCAACTGGTTTATCTTGGCTGGCCCCGTTGGATTTCGCTAATGGAATGTGTCACAAAATAGCTGTGCAAATTAAAATTAAATTAACATTTCATTTATGCTTTTTATGTATATATTTTCTCTCTCCATTCGCATCATAATTTGCTGGAAATAAACTGCTAATTTTTACATCTAGAATGTGGCTCTGCCTTACAGATAGAACTATATAGTAAAAGGCTAGCCTATTGTATTATAGCTTATCTGAAAATATATATATTGAAAGTATATATTAACTGAATATGGAAACAACTTTTAGCATAAGTACAGAAATTGAACGGATTTTGTGGACAACAGTTTCTGTCTTATACAGCCTAAATCTTATACAGCTTAATCTGTTCATGAGCTAGATCTGCTACTTAGACGTTCATATAGGGTAACATGTGCTTGGTTTCCTTGGCTTCACATCATTCTAGCTTCTCTTAAAGCTTCTCTTATAGCACTATAGAACACAGTTCCTATGCGTCAATTGCTTTTTGATATTAGACTGATTGAAAGTCCAAATAAATCTGGCAAAAAGTGTGCTGCAGTATTATTATATTTATATTTGCAGCAAGAATTAAAAATTTGATTTCATTAATTTTTAAATGAGGTTTGCAAACTAATATTTATTTAATATTCAACATTTGAGTAACTTTGCCGTGTTAAATTTGTCCAGGCAAAGTTGCTTGAATGCAATAGCATTGAATAATATTTATGAACTATAAACAAGTTGTATTTTACTCAGTGTGGGTGACAGGCTACAAAGACCTTCAACAACTCAAAAGTCAAACAATGAATTTTCAGCTGCAAAGAGAAAGGAAAAACAATTTTTGACATATCCTATAAATGTATTTGCTCTCGGTTTGCGATAATCGATGTGAGCCAAACTCAAATACGTACGGAGCAACTTTTAACAACATTGACAGCCAACAACAACAACAACAACAACAAACAGACAAACAAACAGCGCAAATTGGTATAAAAAGCATGAGAAATGCAATTTTGTCGAACGATTTGTATTTGATTCCGAGAGCACTTAGCGAGAGCATCAATCCAATTTCAGAATACATCAAACATTTGTCACTCAATCAGCAGCAAAACGAAGCAAATTAGACAAATCATACACACTCACACACACTCACACACACACACACACTTAAATCGTGGTCAACTTTACAAAATCAAAGTCAATTAAATTTAGAGAGGAGAAATCGAAGCATATGATTGATGGACAAATTGCACAGACTCTGACCAACACGGATGAAGGGTATATGTGTCTGCCTGCCTGTGTGTGTGTGTGTGTGGTAGGCATCTCGTTAAGTGCAGCAAACACCGCACATTACGTCGATTCGGTGCAACCGAGCGGCAGCCAAACACGCACCAACGAAATGGAACCCAATCTTTTGGTCGCATGCCCGGCCCCCACTTTAGCTGCCATTCGGATTGATTGACACCCTGTGTTGTGGCTATGACCACACACCCACACACACGGCAGAGACCACACTGCGTGACAGCTCCTGCAACGCACGTCTGTCTAATGGTTGTCCGTGCGAGGGCTGTGTCGCAACAAAGTGTTGCATAGCGCCAGGCGCACATATCACAGCTGCCCCGCGCTCATTGCGTATATATTTCACCTTAATGATAAGTCCAAGTTTTTGCGGTTGGCTTTGTTTTACCTATTACGCTAAACTTTTGCTGCCGTCGTCGCCACCAAACCGAAAACTTTGCCTTCGACTCCAGATGGGACTAGAAAGTTGTTTACGTGGAAGCCCCTCATAAAATCTGAATGCGCCCGCAACACCCTTGGCTCGAGTCTTACCTTGCGTGGCTGGCCCAAGCGGAGTTGATACGTTGTGGCACGTGGAATGTGGCGCACAACCTGCCTCCGCCCCACGCCCCCAGCGCATATAAATCTGTTGTGCATGTTAATTCACCATCAACAACAAGTGCAAATTTATTTTCGGTGCTGCATAAATAAGGCAAGTCACAAACTATAACAGCCAGTTGCTCACTAAGCTTGTAACTGATCGAATAGCGAATACCCTGGAAGTGCACAGAGTGAGACGCGAGTGATTAACAGAAGTTGAGCTCGGGCTAAACGATTAGATTACTCAAATGAGAGTGGAATGAGGCTGCATTGAGCTCTCATAAGTGAAATTAAAAGAAATTTAAAGTGAGATATATCAAAAGTCAAACTTAACTTAAGTCTTTGATTAAGTCAAAAGTTAATCTTAATTTTAAGTCTTTGATTAACATTGTCTGTTGATATATCTTTTATTTTTACTTAGTATTATAAATAATGTTTACTATAAATAAAGAACTTTCTTTACTTAAGATATTTCAAATCTTTATTCCATATTGACTATAACGATAAACTAACTACACAAGCCAACATGATTGAGGACCACTTTACTATTCCAAACCATAGAAAATACTATTCCAAAAATTGAAACAGAACTAAATAGAACTTTCATGATAATTCTTTAAGCATTTAAGCTAAAAAAATAAAATGATGAAATTAACTTATTTATCTTAAATCATATAATATAACAAAAAAAATAATACAAATAAATTAAATTACAATATTAAAAAAATAT